GGCGCCCACACAGCCCGCCGCTGCTTTGGCCGCCTGACCGACGCCTGGCGTCAGCAGTTTCCGGAGGCCGCTGAGATCCCCCGCTGGGGAGAGCTGTCTAGGGCTGGTGTAGCTATTTATGATCTTGATTTTGATGCTATTCTCTCTACTATGTATGCTGCGACTGGTAGTGATGAGGATGACTGTTACCGGTGTTTCCCGCCCGACCCGGGCATTGGTACTGCTGCGTCAGGTACTAGTGAGGCTGCTGCTCTAGGTGCCAGTGCGTCTGTGCTCTCAGGTGCTGGTGAGTCTGCCCTCTCAGGTACTGTGTCGGCTTCGGCCTCTCACACCTTCACCCTTGACTCTGGAGCGTCTCGCTCCCTCTTTAGGGACCGCACCACTCTCACGCCGCTGAGTCGGCCGGTTGCGGTGTCCCTGGCTGACCCCTCTGGGGGGCCTGTCCTGTCTCGCTTCTCCACTGTCCTCCCGTGTCCGGCGGCCCCCTCTGGCACCCTGACTGGTCTCTACCTCCCCTCGTTCTCGACGAACTTGGTGAGTGGTGCTGACCTCCAGGATGCGGGTGTCCACCAGTTCACCCCTGCTCGTCAGCGGGTGACCCACTGCACGGAGGCGGATACAGGTCGCCACCTGGCTACGTTTACACGTCGCCCAGGGTCGAGCCTGTACACACTGACCACTGCTTCTCCTCCAGGTACTGAGTCTGGTACGGTCCCTTCGTCTGGTCAGGTGTTTGCTGCAGCGTCCAGGTCTGGTCCTGAGTCTGCCCCCTGCTCGTGTCGTCGTCTGTCTCACGAGACCCTCCTCTGGCACCACCGCCTTGGCCACCCCTCTCTGCTTCGGCTCAGAGGCATGGCCTCGCGAGTCCTTGTGTCTGGTCTTCCCCGGTCTCTCCCTCCCCTTCCTCCGGGCCCTGGCCCTACCTGTGTCCCCTGTGTCGAGGGGCGCCAGCGTGCTGCCCCTCACTCCTCCCAGTTTCCTCCGACAGAGGCCCTGTTGCAGACGCTTCACATGGACGTGTGGGGCCCATTCCGCGTCCGTGGACAGGGTCAGGAGCGCTACTTCCTGCTGGTGGTTGACGACTACTCGCGTTACACCACAGTCTTCCCTTTGCTCAGCAAGGGTGAGGTCACTGAGGTGTTGATCGACCGGATCCGCGCAGCTCGTCTCCAGCTTCGGAGGAGCTTTGGCTCTGACTTCCCTGTTTTGCGTCTGCACTCGGACAGAGGCGGAGAGTTCTCCTCTGGCCTCCTGAGTGCCTACTGTCGTGCGCGAGGCATCCGTCAGACCTTCACGCTTCCGGACTCACCACAGCAGAATGGGATTGCTGAGCGCCGCATTGGCATGGTCATGGACGTCGCTCGTACGTCCATGATGCATGCGGCTGCTCCCCATTTTCTGTGGCCGTTTGCGGTCAGGTACGCTGCGCACCAGATCAACCTCCACCCCAGGGTCTCTCGACCGGAGACCTCCCCAGCCCTGCTGTGGACGGGGAAGGTTGGCGATGCGTCGGAGTTCCGGGTCTGGGGATCTCGGGCGTTTGTTCGCGACCTGTCTGCGGACAAGCTGTCCCCTCGTGCTTCTCCCTGCGTCTTCCTGGGGTTCCCCCCCGACGCCCCTGGGTGGCAGTTTTACCACCCCACCTCTCGACGTGTTCTGTCCTCCCAGGACGTCACGTTCGACGAGTCGGTACCCTACTACCGCCTCTTCCCCTACCGCACTCCGTCCCTCCCCCCACCCCCGCTCTTCTTGGTACCAGGTCCCCCCCCGGTAGTCCCCCTCCCCCCTCAGGGTCCTGCCCCTTCAGGTGTGTCCCAGGTAGACGCGGTCGAGCCTGTCGAGGTCACTGGTGACTCTGGTGCTGCTGCGGGAGCTGAGCCTGGGGGTACGGAGTCTGGGGGTGCTGAGCCTGGAGGTGCCGAGCCTGGGGGTGCTGAGCCTGGGAGTGCTGTGCCTGGGGGTGCTGAGCCTGGAGGTGCCGAGCCTAGGGGTGCTGTGCCTGGAGGTGCTGAGCCTGGAGGTGCCGAGCCTGGGGGTGCGGTGCCTGGGGGTGCTGTGCCTGGGGGTGCTGTGCCTGGGGGTGCTTCGTCTCGCCGGGAGCCACTCTCCCCACAGGAGCTGCGTGAGTGGTTTGCCAGGCGCTGGAGGCGTGCTGCTGGTGCTGGTGGTTCTTCGGCTGCAGAGGGTACTGCTCCCGCGCGTCCCGCCGGTGCTCGTACTGTGGGTGCTGGAGCTGCAGGGTCTGAGAGTTCTCCTGGAGCTGGTACTGCTGAGGGTGTTGGCGCTGAGCCTGCCGTTGGCGGTCCGACTGACAGTGCTCCTGGTGCTGCTGCTGGAGGTTCTGGAGCTTCTGGTGGTGCTGCTGGAGTGGTTGCTCCTGCCGGGGCTGCTGGTGCTGTTCCTGCTGTTTCTAGCGTCGCCGCACGGCCCCGACCGTACTTCGTTCCGCTCCTGCAGCACGTTCTTGGTCTTACACCTCCTCCTCCTCCCTTAGAGGGTCCGCAGCCTGTCCTGTCACAGCCACAGCTACAGCCTGCCTCCCCTTTGCCTGCTCCTTCTCCCTACGCTGGTCCGACTGGTGGTCTTACTGAGCGTCGTGAGCCTGCGTCTCGTCCTGTGTCGCCTATTCGTACTGAGCGCGCTAGTGGTCGCGGGTCGCGTCAGCGTCCTCCTCCTGTCCCCGGCACGCACCGGATGTCACTGCGTCCGTCCACTGCTCCTCTGCGTGACCCTTTGCCTTCTCCTCCTGCTTCCTCTCTTCCTGCTCTTGCCGACCCGGAGTCGGACTCTCTTCGTGCTGCCAGTCCTACTGTCACGCGTCTCCTTGCTACTGCTGTCACTGACCCTTCCTTCGAGTCGTCTGCTGCGTCTGCCCTTGTCACTGAGCTTGTCGACTTTGCTGCGCGCTATCGTCTAGACTACGCTGCTCGTCTTGTCACTGAGTCTGCGTCCGCCTGTCCTCCGTCCGTCGGGGGTGAGTGTGCCCTTGGCACGGACGTCCTTGAGGACAGGCAGGAGGAGTTCCAGTGTCTGGCCGCCGCTTCACCTCGTCTCGCGTCTGTACTGCTAGCCCCTGAGGGAGACCCGGATGCACCAGACATCCCGACTCCGCGCTCTTACGCGGAGGCGATAGAGGGTCCCTACTCCTCTCAGTGGCAGGCAGCTATGGATGCAGAGATGGCTTCCTGGAAGTCCACAGGCACCTACGTTGACGCTGTTCCCCCTCCTGGGGCGAACATCGTCAGTGGCATGTGGATTTTCAGGGTGAAGCGGCCGCCGGGTTCTCCGCCTGTCTTCAAGGCGCGTTACGTGGCTCGTGGCTTCAGTCAGCGGCAGGGGGTTGACTACTTTCAGACCTTCTCCCCCACCCCGAAGATGACCACTCTTCGGGTTCTGCTGCACGTTGCTGCTCCCCGTGACTACGAGCTGCACTCTCTCGACTTCAGCACAGCTTTCTTGCAGGGCAGCCTGCACGAGGAGATCTGGCTGCGTCGCCCACCTGGCTTCACTGGGTCTTTCCCTCCTGGTACCCAGTGGAGTCTCCGGCGTCCAGTCTACGGTCTCCGCCAGGCGCCACGTGAGTGGCACGACACACTGAGGACTACGCTCGCGGCACTTGGGTTTGCTCCTTCTACTGCCGACCCGTCGCTGTTTCTGCGCACCGACACCTCTCTGCCGCCGTTCTACATCCTCGTGTACGTCGACGACTTGGTCTTTGCCACAGCTGACACTGCTGGACTCGCCTACGTGAAGTCCGAGTTGCAGAAGAGACACACGTGCACTGACCTGGGTGAACTGCGCAGCTACCTTGGCTTGCAGATCACCCGGGACAGAGCACGCCGCACCATTACCCTGACTCAGTCACACATGGTGCAGCAGGTCCTTCAGCGCTTCGGCTTCACGTACTCCTCGCCTCAGGCCACTCCTCTGCCTACTCGCCACTCGCTCTCAGCTCTGCCTTCGGATGAGTCCGTAGAGTCGAGTGGCCCGTTTGCAGAGCTTGTTGGCTGCCTCATGTACCTGATGACCTGCACACGACCTGACCTCGCATACCCTCTTAGCATTCTCGCACGCTTTGTTGCTCCTGGGAGACACCGACCAGAGCACATGGCTGCAGCGAAGAGGGTGTTGCGCTACTTGTGCAGTACGTCGGGCATGGGGCTAGTGCTTGGAGGGCGCAGTCCAGTGGTCCTCACTGGGCACGCAGACGCTTCTTGGGCTGACGACCAGGCTACGCAGCGGTCGTCACAGGGTTACACCTTCAGCCTTGGCTCCGGCTCTGTCTCGTGGCGGGCTACCCGCTCGTCTTCTGTTCTCGGCTCCAGTTGTGAGGCTGAGATCTACGCTGGGGCTATGGCTGCACAGGAGTTACGCTGGCTCACCTACCTGCTGACCGACCTTGGAGAGCAGCCTCGTTCTCCTCCAGTCCTGTACGTAGACAACAAGGCCATGCTGGCCTTGTGTCGAGAGCAGCGACTGGAGCACAGAACGAAGCACATTGCTCTCCGCTACTTTCTTGCTCGTGAGCTACAGCAGCGTGGACAGTTGCGACTTGCGTACGTGGCCTCTGAGGCCAACACTGCTGATGTCTTCACCAAGGCACTTGCGCCTTGTGATCATCAGCGTTGTTGCACGCAGTTGGGTCTTGTGCCTGTCTTACCTCACTTGCTCTCCTCTTGACCTTGCTTGTACCTTCGCCTATATATACTCCTGCTCTTGCTTGCTTGACTCTTGTATATCTCTATATATGATCTTGCATGTGAACTGGCCTTCTGGCCTTTGAACTTGTGCTCGGAATGCGTGGTGACTTTGTGATCCACCCTGAGCTTTGCTTTGCTTTGCTTGACTGGTCTTGTGACCCCTTGTTCTCCCCCACTTTGGCTATGGGGGTGTGTCAGAACATATAGCTTACTTGTTTCTGTAGGCTATAGTGGGGTATCCCATAGGGGGTACAACACAATTAGGGTTTCCTATTTGTATTCACTTCACTTCATAGTCATTCATTCTCGTTCACACTTTCTCAACCCGTCCATCACGGCGCCCACACCGGCATCAAGCAGCTGCTGACGGCGGGACGGCTGGGTCATCCAGCCAGGCAGCACACGGCCGCGCGGACGAGGGGTCTCGGGCGTGGGGTCTGCGCCGGGGGTGGGCACGGGCTGAGGGGCCACGTTGAGGTTGAATGACGGGCTCGCCCGCTCCATCCGCGCGATTATGATGGGGTTGCGGATGTTGAAGAGATGGCAAAGATCGCGCGGCGTGATGCACGTGGCTCGAGCATATCCGATGAGCATCTCGCATGCTGCCCGGGCAGTGCGGCGCGCTTCGCGGCCCACGCGGTCGGCGTCGTCGTAGACGGCCTGCATTGTCGTCGGCGCCTCCCAAAGCTCCACAACCATGCCCGCCTCCGGCTCCGTCGTGGGCTGTCCTGCAGCGCCTTCGGCGCACGTCGGCTCGCCGTCGTCGATGGTGACGTACTCGGCGGCCGTCATCGCTCCTGTCCCAAGGCCGAGCTCGCTAATAAGCGTACCGACATCGTCGATGTCGTCGTCGAGCTCAAGGTCGGGATACACGGGAGGGATAGGTTCATCGTCGTGTGCGTGTGGCAGATCCATGGACCACGAGAGCGGAAGACACCCCGTGCGTCACCAGCACCATTGGATGGTGCGCGCGCCGACGGAGGTCCACGCGTCCGACAGCCACCCCAAGACGTCACGCAAGTTCGGGCGGTACCGCGCCACGGCGCTAGTCGCGCCGTCGGCATTCCACAAAGCCGAAAAGGCCCGCAACAAGTGCTGGCGGTAGCGGGCCTTGGCGGTGGCGATGATGCCCTGATCAAGTGGCTGAGTGAATGCGGTGGTGTTTGGCGGCAGGAAGACGAGCCGCACGTTGCTCATGCACGTCGTCCGCATGCCGCATACGATCTCGCTCCATGCGTGCTCGCTCCTGAGCATGTGGCTGCTAGTGTTGTCGAGTAGCACGACGATGTGCCGATTTTCGGCGTACATAGCAGCATTGAGCTGCGATATGAAATGCGTGAATAACTCTGGGCGGGGAAGGGAGGTGAAGGCATCGTGCAGAGGAAACATAGTTAGCACAGGCATATGCCCGACAAATAAGCCGCGATAGTCACGCACTGGAAAGCATAAAATAGGGGGCAACCACATACATATTAATCACTTACAGGCGCCGTCATCCAGCCTTTCGTGTTATGCCGCCAGTAGCAGAGGGCCTCGGGGTCATAATCCGGGCGGAAGTCGTGGGGGCGCTTCGCCTTGCTGATCACGAGCGGTCGGAATGCGTGGCTCCCGTCCGCATTGACGAGGAATGCGACGGTCAGCCGCACCTTCGAAACTTTGCGGCCTAGTATGCGGCCGTTGCTGTACGTGCGCCGAGGGAGCACGGACAGCCAGAGCGCGGTCTCGTCAAGGTTGAAAGTGTCCCGCGGGCTGAGACCGAGATGAGTGAGGAGTTGCGGGAGCTTCTCCCGTGCGTCGCGCACGGCGGCCATGTCGGCGCTAGCCGCCTCGCCTTGTGCTGCACGGCACCTCACCCCCTGGCGCCACAAAGCACGGCGCACCCAGCCGATGGAGCAGCGGAATGTGGGCGGAATGCCCATGTTCCGCGCCATGGCCGCGACATGGTTGCGGATGGTCTGCAGCGTAAGGGGCACGCCAGCGGGCCCTGCGTTTGCAATCCACCGCGCCATGGCCTGCTCCAGCTCAGGCCATGCGCCACCTCGACGGCGCACTTGGTTGTCGACGGTTGCCGTGACAGCCCATCGCTCGGCGCTCTTCAAAATGCGCCCGACAGTGGAGCGATCCGGGCGCAACCCGTACTGAGAGTAACACCACCTCGCCAGGTCAACATGACACAGGCGGAGGTAGGCTTGGGCATTGACCCGACCCGACCCGACCCGACCCGTTTATGGCTACCCGAGGGTATATTCGGGTCGGGTCGGGTAGACCCGACCTCGGGTTTCCTGGGTCAAAATGTGTACCCGACCCGTTATGTAACCCTCGGGTAGTTACAACCCGAGGTCGGGTCGGGTACACCCGAGCCCGGGTCGGGCTACCCGTTAAATTGTGCTGCTTTAAGCATTCTGGGTTATTAAAAATCTGTTTTTGGCATTACAGGTATGTTAGCTGGTAGGCATTTGTGTATTGATGGCAATGTGACAGCTTTGTTTGCATACCCGTACTCCAGCACAAAAACAAGAATACAATGTACGTTTTAGGAGATCTGATCTGAACCTGCACGGGCCTACAGCTGTCACATCTATCATTACATATCTTTCCAATAAATTAAAAATATATCAATCACCTCCTACGTGGTGGAATCAATCGACTAGAGTGACAAAAACCACACCCTCACCCCCACACTCACAGCAACCACGTGCCCACAGTCAAAACCAGCCACAAGTCAGAAGCCATCACCCTCACCCTCGTAACAAAGCTCCTCGAGCACACGAGCAGCACCTGCAACATTGAGGCTCCTTCCGCTAGTGTTCTGCTCCATCCATGACTTGATTGCCATGACGGCGCGAACGCGGCCTGCAGTAAGGCGGTGGCGCTGCCACGTAATAACGTTCCTCCCCTGACTAAAGGCACGCTCGCTAGCAGCAGAAGTGGCGGGCACAGCCAAATAGTCGCGCGCCATCTCTCTCAAAGCCTCAAAATCCTCCCTCGCCCGCCAGAAAGCCAGCGGGCACCCACCTCTCTGCCTCGGCTCGGCTAAATAGCGGTCCACCTCATCCTGTGCCCCCCCTCCAGCAGCTGCCTCCAGAGCATCCATCTCGTCAAAGATGGAATGCTCAAAGCCCCCTCCCCCACCGCCAGAAGCACCCGTCGTGCCCAATGTCCCACCAGTAACGCTGCTAGGCCCAGTGGCCCCCCCAGTATCGCTCGTGACCTCTCCAGCCTGCCGGCGGCTGCTCACGCGCGCCTGGTACTCGGCCAAGCGCGCACGCACCAGCCGTATCACCGTCCCCTCATCCACATCCTGCACGCTCCTAGCACACCCCCCCACCTCTGTCACGTGCGCAGCATTGCGCGCCTCCCATTTCGGCAGCTGGAAGAAGACGGTCTTGTAGCGGGGGTCAAGAAAGGTGGCAATCACCAGCTCTTCATTCTCCCCGTACTTGTACTTCTTCAGCTTGGCGAGGGCTGCAGAGATGAGAGCCTGTCGGAGGGGAGTGACACCCTCTTTGCGAAACGAGATTTCCAGCTTGTCGAGTAGCTGGTTGTACAGCGGCACGACTGAAGCAGCCGTGGGGTACAAGGAACCCTCGGCTGCCTTCGTGATGGAGTTGAACGGCTCAAGGAACTCCTTGAGCTCGACGAGAGCGTCCCAGTGCACGTCGGTCAGCCGAAGGCCATCCAGCTGTTCGCGTAGCTGGCGGGGGGGGGGGGGGGCTGGTGGATGGAAAAACAGAATGGAGTAAGATTACTGTTTTATGGTCATTCTAACCCCTGAGTAGCACCCTTCACTACTGTCACAACACACCAGCCCCTAAACCAGCCCCCACTTCAGACCCATCACTACAGTCACAACACACCAGCCCGGAGTCCAGCCCCCTAACATAACCCTTCATTACAATCACAACATACTGGCCACAAAACCAGCCCCCCACCATGCCCTTTCACCACGATCACAACACGCCAAACACTCAAAGTAGCCCATCACTACTGTCACTCCACACTCACCACCACCAATACTCACGTCTGTCCTCATGAGGAGCAAGGCTAGTGCCTGCTGCAGCTCCAATGCGCGGACGATCATGTCATACGTGGACCCCCATCGTGTCGGCGAATCGCAAATCAGACGAAGCACGGGTGCATCATCCCGCCGCTTCAAGATGCGCTGCTGCCGTGCAAAGTTCTCCGAGCGCTGGACTGACCACCCGACGTATGCACAGACCGCTCGCAGACGCTTTAGCGCCTCTTTCACCTCATCTTTCTTCAATGCCGCCTGCACTGCAATGTTCATGACATGTGCAATGCACCTGCGCAAGCATGGCTCAAAAGCATAAGGGAGAGGAGGTTTGGCATGAACATGGTTGTAGTCGACGGGTGGCACATGGCACGGCGGCAATGGCAGATCGCCGTAGGTTCTCTAAAAGCTACGCGTCGAATGACTCACCGCACGTGCCGATCTTTGTCGAACAGGGGAAACTCAATCCTCGCCGCAGCACCCTCCGCTGGATCCCCTGCAAGCATGCGCATCGCCTTGTTGTTGTTCTCAGCGTTATCCGTCGTGACGGCAAACAGCATCTCGGTCAATCCCCACTCTGCCAGAATGCCCTCAAGGGTCTTCGCTATCAGCGACGCAGTGTGTGACCCCTCCAGCTGCACAAAGTCTAGGATGTGCTGTCGCAGCTGGAAGTCACTAGTGATCCTGTGCACGGTGACAACCATGAAAGCAAGGTTGTTCTCACTGGTCCAGATGTCCGTACTCAGCGACAGCCGCCCCGCAAGACCATCACCAATCAGCTCCTGCTTCAACTCTGCCCTAGCGGCATCTGCGTATGCCTGCATGTCCCGTGCCAATCGATACCGCGTACCTAGCAACCTCTCGGCCCCAGGGTTCAGCAGTTTGACGAACCGACGGAACTGTCGGGGGATGGAATAGACAACGGCCACACGACACCTTGAAACGAGAGTGACATGGATTTCAGGGATGGTAATCGAGTGGACAGCAATGTATAGCACGAGTAAAGGATGCGCAACTCGTATGTACTGACGGTGACATGCACAATGCGATACTGCAGCCGAACAAACACTCACTGATGGCCGATCAACAAGGCGGAATGGCAGATCGGCGTCGGCGAACAACTCCACCAGTGCAGAGCGCAACTCGTCCTCCTGCACCCGGGGGGTGATGTATGCGGACATGCTGGCAGCACGAATCCCACCATCCCCCCCCCCCCCCCCACCCCCTCCGCGGTTCCCACCATAGCCGTGGCTGGGATGTTCGGCCAGCTTGCCGCGTGTTCCCATGCTCCATCCCCATCGGGCACGACTGGGCCCTTCCCATCCCTACCGTAACCCCCAATAGGGAATTGCAGATCTCCAGGCTTCGCCGGATCCAAGAACCGACGAACCCAAATCTGCAAGTTAGGGTAATGTTTACGTTTCACGTGCCTCCACCCTGCACTAGTGTTACCCGAACCCCAAGCAAGCAAGTCCCCACATTTACGACACGCACGGCAATCATCGACCATATCGCCAAACATTCCCACAAGTAACCCCGAGTAGGATTTTCCAGCCAACTCCTCGACAACCGGATCCGTCGGCGTCACCTCCCTCGGACGCTTCGTCCTACGCGGCCTGCCGCCCGACGTCCCTCCGCCCCGACTGGTGCCAGCAGCTCGCACCGGCGTCCCCCCACCCCCATCGTTGCACTGTGCGCTGCCACGTGACGGGCCTGCCTCTACTGGGGCTGAACCCTCCGCTCTACCGTCGCCACCCCCTTGTGCAGCACTACCAACCCGCCCACCTCCTCGTCCACCTCTCGAGGTACCGCCGGCGCGATTCTCACCGTGGACGGCAGTTGCTCCTTCGCTTGAACGACCCTGCACCCGGCCAGTCCGTCCCCGACCCCGACCTCGTCCCCGTGCACTCCTTCCTCCACCGCATCCTACACTAGTTTCCCCGACCCCCTCCTGCTCCACCTGCACCACCACCTCCACCTCGTTCTCGCCAGCCGAATCCGCTGCTGCAGCTGCCACCTCCTCCGCCGTAGGCACGTATGCACCGTCGACGTCTTCTTCAACGGGCGGTTGCCCTGAAACCATGGGTTGTAGGGGAATATTTACCCACCCAGAGCCGTTCCCCTCAGAGATCGCCGCAGCATCCGCCCCTCCAGATCCGACGGCCGCCGGCGTAGCACTGCCGAGCATGACGCCACGGGTGCGCGTTGAAGTGTGCTTTATGGAGCGTGGTAGCGAGGCCGCTAACACCACGCCGATGCGCCTTTAGTACCACTGTAATGCGCCTAGAAGAGTAGAGCAAGCCTGGCTGGGACCTTGCGTTTAATGCTGCCTTAGGGGATGGAAATCTGGAGCAGACGTGGGGTGGCGACGCGGGACCAATTAAACACTTCAATGGGCAATGATGTAAAATCCTTCCATTACTAGCTGTAAACGACTCTGTAGGCGATTCTTACAAAAAACGCTAAGCGACTATGAGAGCCTTTTTCGCACCAAAAGGCACCAAGCTCGAGACATTACACTTCCACTAGTAGTTGTTGCTTTGCTCGCTATTAAGTCGGGCTCTGTCCTGGGAAAACCTAATGAGTGAGTGAGTGACGAGAGAGAGTTGATTGAAAGTTGGATGGATGGATGGAATCTGGAATCTGGATAGGATCTGTTTAGTGATGTGATCTTGTCGGAACTAGGTCGACTTTTCCAGCCTGTAACCCTGTGCACAGCGCGAGGGGTTAGCGTAACCCGAGCCACCCACGGGTAAATGGCCCGAGCACGGGTCGGGTATACCCGCCCCGTCGGGTATCAAAAACCCGACCCTAAATACACGGGTCGGGTAGCGGGTATTCAAAACCCGAGGCGAGTAGTCCTACCCGACCCGTGCGGGTAGTCCAAACTTGACTAAATACTCGACCCGTCAAAATGGTCGGGTCGGGTCGGGTTACCCGACCCGACTCGGGTCAATGCCCAAGCCTAGGCGGAGGTTTTCGACGTGGTGCGCGCAAATAGCGCGCTTGATATGGAGCGGGAGCTGCTCCCATCTATTAAAACGAGGCATCGTGAGAGGCTGAGGTGTGAGAGAATGACGAACTTGTGAATTCGTTGTTCTGATTTTAACACCAGATGGCGGGCGTGCTGGGGAACTGCTGGGGCCTGTTCTTTGTTGCTCGTCCCATTCGTGTGGATGGTGTTCATTCCATGCACCTGGCTTGCACATTTGATCGTGTGGTTACCAAACCACACGATCAAATGCGCGGACGTGGGGTCGGCGAACAACGCCTGGCTGATAATGCGCTTGTACTCCACAAGTGTAGATTACACGTGGCAGCGTGAATCTGCCCAAATGTCTGTTACATGCACGATGAACCCTGCTTAGGTGGCTGGGCAGTTGGGCGAATGCGTTCACGAAACCACGCACGTTTCGTCCATTCATTTCGCCTGTCTGACTCCTGGCCTAGAAACAAGGATAATCAGGGTTGGCATGCCTTGTTCTAGACTGCACGTGCATTGGTGGCCGTGGCGCGTGTACTGTTGCCAGCCACCCATGTGCTTGTACTGTGGGAGCAGCAAGCAGGGGTTTCGAGCTCGGGGGCAGCGTTTCCATCCGGTGCATGGCAAATTCGCATGCACTGGTCGAGCATCGTGTGTACACAACCAAGTCAACGAAAAAAAAGTAGGTTCGGGAAACCCTAGGATTAGGTTCAGTGGGAAAATCCTGAACCAATCGCGTCAAAAACCCAATCAAAACTTTCGACCAATCACATGAAAGTGATGACAGTTTTGAGGCCGACACGGTAATTCTGGATGTGTCCTTTAAAAAAGAAAGCATCACAGCTCAGAGTCGTTTCTTTTTTTCCGTGAGCTGCTCCCTGACCTTTGTGTTGGGAAGGGAGCAGCTTCTTTATATTTTTGGGTTGCGAAGCAACCTATTACAATCGATTTGGACAGTTTTTTTTTCCACATTTTATTTATTTATAAAAAAAATGTGAAAAAAAAACAGGATGCACTAGTTGCTAGCTACATGACCAGTAAGTATTGTCTTTACTGAATTGTAATGTGATGGTAGTGATTTTCCTGTTCGCACTACGACATATTTTTGTGCGGTATGTTGGATGATATAATGGTAATTATGTGACTGTCGTAAAATGCATATATGTTATAAATTAAATCTTTGTGCTTAAATACATATAATAATACATGAATGAATACAATGATACATGTTTGAATGAATATAATGATACAAATTTTATAAATGCATTATGCAATAATGATAATGATGGTTCAGTATGCACAATGTTTTATGTTGAATATATGCATACTAGTTCATGATATAAATGCGTGAAAACTAACGATCCAAGAATTATGCTATCGCATCCCCTGCCTAGCATGGGGGGGAGCTAACAGCATAATCCTTGAACAATCAGCAGTCACATGAAACAACACAATCTGTGAACTCTAAAAAGATGGTCAAATCTATCATCTCCAGCTCAAGTGGGCTCCCGACAGGCGCGCCAATAAACCTTCTAATGAAATGATAAACCTGATTCACCTTTTTAAAACCCACAGACGTGCATTGTCATTGCAATGATAGATGAATGCACACCCAGACAAGCAGACACATTCACAACAACCAAAGGCATGGACAGCAAAAAAACGAGCAGGAAACCCAAGATAATACATAAAAGATGCAAAACAAAGTAAAACGGGCAATATGGTGAATTCTATAAGTGACAACTACGATTATCCAGATTGGACTCGCCTTCCTGATCAGCAAGACTCCTGAGAACAAAAAAAAAAAAAGATAATGAGAAAGGGACGGTAGGGTCAACATAGGTAACATTAAACAAAGCAAAAAACAGAAGCATAAAACGGAAATATAAAATGGAAGCAGAAAACGGTGGCAGAAAACGGAAGCAGCAAACTGAAGCCGTTAACATAATGAAGGAAGGCGTAAAGGAAGCATGGAAGGTATGAGGGAAGGAAAGATGGAAGGACGGACGGAAGGAATGAGATAGAGAGAGAGAGAGAGAGAGAGAGAGAGAGAGAGAGAGAGAGAGAGAGAGAGAGAGAGAGAGAGAGAGAGAGAGAGAGAGAGAGAGAGAGAGAGAGAGAGAGAGAGAGAGAGAACGAGAGAGAGAGAACGAGAGAGAGAGAACGAGAGAGAGAACACGAGAGAGAGGGAACGAGAGAGAGAGAACGAGAGAAAGAGAGAGAGAACGAGAGAGAGAGAGAGAGAGAGAGAGAGAGAGAGAGAGAGAGAGAGAGAGAGAGAGAGAGAGAGAGAGAGAGAGAGAGAGAGAGAGAGAGAACGAGAGAGAGAGAGAGATGTGAAATCAAAGAACGAGAATGAATGACTATGAAGTGAAGTGAATACAAATAGGAAACCCTAATTGTGTTGTACCCCCTATGGGATACCCCACTATAGCCTACAGAAACAAGTAAGCTATATGTTCTGACACACCCCCATAGGCAAAGTGGGGGAGAACAAGGGGTCACAAGACCAGTCAAGCAAAGCAAAGCAAAGCTCAGGGTGGATCACCAAGTCACCACGCATTCCGAGCACAAGTTCAAAGGCCAGAAGGCCAGTTCACATGCAAGATCATATATAGAGATATACAAGAGTCAAGCAAGCAAGAGCAAGAGTATATATAGGCGAAGGTACAAGCAAGGTCAAGAGGAGAGCAAGTGAGGCAAGACAGGCACAAGACCCAACTACGTGCAACAACGCTGATGATCACAAGGCGCAAGTGCCTTGGTGAAGACATCAGCAGTGTTGGCCTCAGAGGCCACGTACGCAAGTCGCAACTGTCCACGCTGCTGTAGCTCACGAGC